CTAGAAGCTTTACAATGTTTTCTTCTACTCACGTGCACTTTTGTTGTTATCTGCCTTAAGACTTCTGGACAACCTGACTCTTTTAAAGTAATGGCAAAAATGACATTTCCATTAAAATAACACACAACACTCCTTAAAAAAGCACCCCAGAAACAAACATGAGGCAGGAATCTTCAATACAATAAAAACTCTAAACTAAAATAAACTCAGTCTTACAGTCTTTATTACTACATGATTATTCACTGAAAATAAACATTAAAAAAACAAAACAAAACAAAACCTTTAAAAGCATACTCTAAACCAATGTTTCTGAATCAAGAGACACAAGACATTCTCCTCAATCCAAATATTTGGTCTGCAGACCAAGTTATCGGTAACTGTACCTGTATGAGACCTTTTATGGAGCTCCAGATTGCTTGGATGTTTGAAAGCCTTCCCACATAATTCGCAAGTATATTGCCTCTGTGACTGAAGAGTCTGTGATTGTCCTTCTTGTTCCAAAGGACCTTGAGATCTTTCAGTTTCAACAGTTTGTTCAAAATTCTCAGAATTCACCGAGTCATCAGCTTCTTTTTCTTCAGCAACTCTGACACTGGTCACACCCATGGTACTTTCATTTACAGATTCATTTACTCGTGTTATTCTACTGTCATCTCCTTTAGGCTCCGGGTGCTGCTCGGCAGATTTCTGAGATCTCAGAAAATTCAACTTTTTGAGGTGTACTGCCTTTTTCAGCCTCATCTGCTTGGTGGGCTGCAACAGCATGCTTTCTGTGTCTTGATCTGGAGCGGCTTCATTCAAGGGCTGAACCAGAAAGTTTGATGGTAAATGTTCAGAGGTTTCCAGAATACATTCAGGGTGACTGACAGGACAAGAACTCTGTACTGTGTTTATTTCTGTAGATGTATTGTAAGAAAAGGAATGTTCTGCTACCCTCTCATTATTAGAGCAAGCATTCTGCTTATAGAACTGTTTGCTGTAGAAGTTGCGCAGTTTATAATAGTAATTTGGTTGCTTAAAAGGAAGTTCTGTGCAGTTGCCATCTATGGAGTTGTGTGACTGCTTCTGTAAATCACCTGAGGGTGTGTGAAGATTAACAGACTGTGATGTATGAGAATGGTGGTCAGCCAAGACCTTGTTAGCTTGTGCGTCGGATGAACATTCTTGTAATAAGTTTGTTCCATAACTGTCATTGGTACAACTAGTATCTGCACTCAAACTACTCTGCAGGGAAAATACACTATTACAAGGCATGGTGGTTGTTTGCTCTATGGCTGTAGAAGATTTTAAAAAGGTGTGGCAAATATTCAGCACATTTTGCACTTGAAGGCATTGCGCAATATCCAACATAGCTTGTACATTGTCCTGACTAAGATCCAGATGGGAGGTATACATGAAGTCCAAGATTTGGCCAATCCCACCTACATTTTTAATGTCCAAATGAAAGACATCATTCTTCTGGCCTGAAGAATTCTGAAAAAGGGTCCTGACAAAATAAGGTAGATGTTCAAACACACAAATAATTCACAACACTTTTGTAGGAAAAGAAAAAAAATACATATACAGACACAAACATCTCAAACAGACTGTCTGGTATGAATAAAAAAATTTGTGCTATGTGGTCTTAGCAAATCTGTTGTGGTTTTGCAGATGAACTTCTCAAAACTGCTCAAATATTTCTTTCATACTATTATTCCTACACTGTTACACTTAAAGTACAAATTAAAGCAGCAGACTCTTTTTATCCTATACTCGCAGCTTCTTACCCAATGCTCTTTAAACATTTGGTGCAGGGATGTATTTATGGACTGTCTGCAATAGTCCACAAACCCAGAACGGCGTTTTCCCTTCCATCATAGCAATTAGGACATGAGAAATTTGTCAGTAAAAAGATAAGACAGATCCCAAAGTCAGCAAAATTGCTCTCTTCTGGCAATCAAGTTTGTCTATCACTCATTATCAGTGAACCTTACTAAAGACAGTTCATTAGTTCTTTTTATGCAAGTAGACAAGAGGACGGTAATAGTAAAGTTTTATTTTTTTAATTTTCCATTATTTTCCATTTTCCATTATTTTCATTATTTTCAATCCTTTCTGTCATACACCAAAAAAAAATTTGGTGCTGAATAACCAGGTACTGAATGAGAATCAAGTAAAAGAAGAAAAAAAAGAGTAAATGTATACGAGCATAAACCAGCAGTCCAACCATCACACACTGAATTTATCTTCAAAGTAACTGAATTCACAAGAGCACCAAAGCTGTAGCTCTTCATATGCATAACCAGTCCTAGACTGATCAGCTTGGCTCTGCCTCAGCCAGGACCTTCACACTTTCATGAAAAACCCCTAGTCTCTAACTTGACTCTCCCCCATAAAATGATGATGAATATATCATCTTCATGGGTTAACTCACAAATTAGGTTTGTTGAAAGGTGGACATAACATCAGTGAGCAGTGAATCTTACACAAAAGGTAGCTGAGGCTTAATGAAAAGCAGTTTTAGGTTCTGAAAGAATCTCCTCTGGTTCAAAACTGAAAGCAGTTTTGAAAGGATCTCCTCCGGGAGATCAACAGTGGGTGGGCTACAGTGAGGGGAGAAAAATGGGGAGTGATGTTCCTTCATGAACTACCTGCATACTTTAAAACACGTACTGTCTCTCTGATAATTTCTTCTATGCAGAGGTTCAGTATTACCTATGTAATCAAATCTTGTCTTGGACACCACCAAACAGAAGTGGATAACATGAACTGTTTCTGTCTGGCTCAGCTCACATTCAGTACTACTACATTCAGTACTACTTCATGTAAATAGTTATCTTTGCATACTGAAATACTGATTGCAGTATTTCATGCCAGAATCCCCTGTATGAAGCACTGTAAGCAAATAAAGAACAAAAAATTTCCAAAGTTAAACACTGTAGTAGTTAATGAGGCATACCCAAAAATTAAATTAGAATGCTCTCTGTTTTTAATTAGGTACAATAGTTGATGTAGGTTCATCTCTGGACAAATAGTTTAACTTTTTACCTTCCACTCTAATAGTTACTTTCTGTGCAACTACCAGAAAAAAATAATTAAACCAATTTCTCAGGTAAAACCTCAAAAAACAGCATTTAGTTCACTTTTTTTTTTTTTTTAACCAAAAGAAATTTCTGCCACATACCTGAAATACTGACTAAAAGCGGCTAACACATTTTTGTGTGCTTTGAAGCAGACACCTTTCACCACCAACATGCAGTCACAGAGAAGACCCTGAATGCGCTGCTCATGTAGCTGCTGGAGTAGATGACAACTATGGCTAGCAACAGTGTCCATGCTAGAAAGTCACATTACCTACAATAAAATAAAATTCTAAAATGAACTTTAAATATCAACTCACAAAATGAATTTAGAACACGAACAACACTTTTACCATTTTTTATCTCCTAAAGGAAACACTAGTTTAGACTTGCCTTGTGAGCTCTGAAGACATTTCTCTGTTTAAAAAAAGAATAAAAATCAATCACAGTATCACTCACCAGAAAACGCAGCAGCAGTTATGGAAGATATTGATTTTAATGAAGTATCTCTTACAACAAAAAGCTTCTGCAAGAATATGCAAGCGGTGCTGCAAAAATGCTGATCTCTATATCCATAGGAAATACAAAGCCAACTACTTTAACAAGATTATACGGCACAACCATATCAGATCTATAAAACAGTAATATCTGTAGAGGACAACCTCATTTGTTTCATCCTCTCAACTGAGCAGGGTGAACTCTGGAGCAGCACTGTTTGTAGCACATTCATTGCTATTGCAGCTAAGCACATTTCTCACAGATCTGGTTAAATAGACAAGCTAGAATGGCAATTCTTTGATTTAACAAAACATACAGCCTCATAAAAGTCACTTTTTGAACATGTTGAAGAGAACGCAACTGATAATAATCCCACACAATACATCCATGTTGAGTTCAAAGCTTTTTTTTTTTTTTTTTTTTTTTAAAAAGGATGAAACTCCAGCCCTGCATACTGGTAAGCACAAATGGCAAACTTAAAATCTTAGGACAGTGTTAAGTTGTAGTCTTAATTAAATGAAGCAGAAAAAAACACAATGATTAAATGTGACAAGAGCACAGTTATCCCCATTTTCAATTCTGATGAAGAGCTATAGTTCCCCATTTTAATGGGCTCCATAACAGAATCACAGAATGGCCATGGTTAGAAGGGACCTCAAGGATCATGAATCTCCAACTCCCTTGCCACATGCAGGGCCACCAACGTCCCCATTTAATACTAGACCAGGCTGCCCAGGGCCCCATCCAACCTGGGCTTGAACACCTTTAGGGATGGGGCATCCACAACCTCTCTGGGCAGCCTGTTCCAGCAACTCACCACTCTCTCTGTAAAGAACTTACACTTAACACACATTTCCTTTCCTTCTGGCATATTGAAGTGGTATTGCAATGTACATTTTATCCCCTATTTCACCTTGTCTTTTACCAGGCTTTAAAATAAACTAGCTGCACCTTTTGCTTGTCTCCCCCCCGGGGGCTTCGAAAGCCCTTAACAACCCAGGAATTCGGGCATCCTCAGCAGCTAGATGCCTCGGTGTCCGTGAAGAAGGGCACCCACTCCGAACTACTCACAAGCAAGAGCAACCCCAGCCCCACAGCCGTTAATTAACGCGCAGATCAAGGCTTCAGGATCCCCTCAGACCTTCAGAATTCCCTAAGCGCGAAGCAGGAGAAGGGCGGAAGGTGACAGAGGGAGAGCGAGGAACGAGGCAGGCACAGAAGAGAGTGGGCTGAGGAGACAGCGGAGCGCGGCACGGCTTAACAAACGACCGAGGGAAGGAGCCAGTCCCGCTCAGCCCAGCGCTTACCGGCTGCGGTCACCTCGCACCTCCATCCCAGCGCCAACCCCACACTCAACCTCCCCCCACCGCTTCCGGCGCCGCTCCTTCCGCTTCCGCTTCCGCTCCCGCTGCGTCCCCGAGCAGGCGGGCGTTGCGCATGCGCTGAGGGGCGGCCGAGGCGGAAGCGGGGCGACGGGCGCACGTGTGGGGCCGGGCAGCCGTTGGAGACGGCGGTTGTGGTGAGAGGGGGTGCGACCGCGGATCGTAGCCCGCAGAGCGACAGCTGTGGGGGGAGGAAAGGTCTCCGAGATGCAGCAGTGCCGCTGAGGGGACACCCTGAGCTAGGGCTGGGAGGGGGCAGCAGGAAAGGGAGGGCGTAGGGGAAAGCCGAACTGAGAGGCTGTTAAACAGGGGAGATAAGAGCTGGAATGCTCCTTGCAATTGGTGGCAGCGGGGATCTTGTCTCGTCAGGGCTGCGCTGTGTGGGGAGGAAAGAGATCAGCCCCACCTCATAGCAGCTGCTGACCCTCACCGCCATGGTCGTCTTCACGTGCAACGCGTGCGGGGAATCCGTGAAGAAAACACAGGTTGAAAAGCACGTGAACATTTGCAGACACTGTGAGTGCCTCTCTTGCATGGACTGTGGCAAGGATTTCTGGTAGGTAAATGATGGCAAGCGGCCTTGTTTGCTCCTCAGTGGTTGTCACACGTCAGAGGTTTTCCTACAATGTGTGAGAGCTAACTTTGGCAATTTCTGAATAATTCAGATTTCTGCTTAAAAAGCACACAGGTTTGTTTCAGGCTCAACCATCCAATTGCAAACAAGGGCTTGGAAGTTCTACTGCGCTGGCAGGGAGATGTATGGCACTGCACTCACTTGTCCAGAGCATCTTTGTGCACCTCTCCTGATTTCACCTGGACAGAATCACAGAATGGCCAGGGCTGGAAGGGACCTCAGGGATCATGAATCTTCAACTCCCCTGCCACATGCAGGGCCACCAACATCCCCATTTAATACTAGGCCAAATTGGAGTAGTATTGGACAAACTGGACGTCAGACTGACAAGTGTCAGATAGGATTGATGTTGCTGAAAAGGCCATCAGCAGTAGATAAAGGTGTCATCGGTACTGAGTATATACATTAAGTCCAGGTCTGCAGACTAAATGCCATTTCTGGACATTGCCAGAGGTTATGTGAGGTTGGCAGCGATATCCAAAATTGTGAATTTGCCTCCTCTCATAACTCAAAAGACAGCAGTGCTACTATCTGCATTTTAAATATGAATGTATGAATTTGCATAAGAAGGTAAGCTCATCCTCAGATAATCGGAGTTATAGAATGGCTTAGGTTGGAAGGGACCTTACAGATCATCCAGTTCCAGCCCTCCCTGCTGTGGGCAAGGTTCCCAGCCGCTAGATCAGGCACCACATCAGGTTGCACAGGGTCCCATCCAACCTGGCCTTGAACACCTCCAGGGATGGAGCATCCACAGTTTTTGTTTATCTCTCTCAGTACTTTATCAACAACAAAATTGTTATTCATTTTTTCTTTTTGAGGGTCCACACGCATTGATTAGAACAATTATTACTGCATTAGTGTATCCACATTTGATGTAAGCAGTCTTACAAGCAGGTACTTTAACCATGTTGAACTTCTATCATATAAGTGTTAGCAGTATTGAGGTGTAAACAGTAGATGCTGCTACTTCAATTTGTTGACCACTGAGTCTGTTTGGAGGACTGAGCAGTGAACTACAGTTGAAAATCTGTGTTCAGGGGTGATGACTATAAGGACCATGTGAAGTGTGTAACCGAAGATGAGAAGTATGGTGGAAAAGATTTTGAAGCCAAAACTAGTAAAGGAGATGCTAAACAACAGGAGTGGCTTCAGGTAAGGGCTATACTGTATACTGATATAAGCAATTCTTGATTGTTGAATTGGCTTGATTGTTGTTACTGAAGCAGGCACTGCTGACAGAAGAAATGCATGTCAACTGTGGCCTCAAAGATGGCTTGTTTTTCACAGTTAGTTCCAGAAGGAAAAACATTTGCAAAAGTTTGCAAAAAACAGCCAGTTGAGAGTTCATTTTCTTAATGCAAGCACTTTTCAGAGTGCAGGGCTCCCTTTTATGATGTTACTTTAATTTAAAGTGTAACTTGTACAACAGAAAGTATCAGTGAGCAGTCCTGCTTGCCTCTGCTCAGTATCACAGTATGAGTATTTATACAGATAACTGATGCTTGTGATAAAACTACGGGATAGTGTTTATTTTGAAGCTTATTGAATGATTTCAGTTAGCCTATGCAGTCTGTGGGTGATTTTTGTCCAGTGTGCTTCCAGCTTTCATACCTTGCATGCATCTTTTGATCATTATGCTTCTTCACTGATTTCATCCTGCTTTTCTTCGTTCAGAAAATTCATGAAGTAATGAAGAAACCCAATATAAACCCTAAAGTGCGGAACATTTTGGAGCAAATGCGTTCCTTTGGTAATATTCCAAGAAAAAAAGTAAAATTTCAGGTATGTTTTAAGAGCTTTGTAGTAATTTGTGCAGTGAACTTAAAAATAGACTTCCCTGGTGTCTCTCTCTTTTAAGAAAGGTGGGACAAATTGTTTTATTTTGAGCATCAGGAAGTAGATGATGTAATGGCCAGCTTTCAAATAGGAGATGTTTGTAAATTATTTCTCCTTTCATAAAAGGTGTCTAAATGCAGTTTGTCTAAATGCAATTTTAATTAGTTATTAGGCCAGAGACTCACAAAGTTGATTCCCAGACTAACGGATTAAGGTTGGATGTATAGGCTTGTTCTTTTTTAATACTTCCTTTTTTCTTTTTGCAATTGCTTTTGAATGTCCATATTCTTAGACATATTTGCAAAGAATTTTAATGTCTGTGGCTTAGGTTTTGCCTGGGAGCTGCAAGAAACTTTGTTATAGGGAGTTTTCCTGTTGATTAGTGTTCTGAGCCCTTCTCCCATACAGGGTACTTAACTGAAGTGTGCTTCCCAACCACAGCAGACTCCAAATACTTTATGTGGTATCACAAGATATGTGATTATGTGGTATATCAAGAATTACAAGTTGGCCTCTTCTCCACCTCTTTTTGTGTCTCAATTTGTAAAGCTGAAAGAAAATAATGATTGCTTCTAGGTGGTTCAGATAGGATGTAATAAAACTGATGTGAACTTACTGCCAGAGAGCTAGCTAGAAAGTTAGACTTAGTTTGACAAAATTGACAAAAACGTTCTAAGCAAGGGAAGTTCTATTTTCAATCATTTTTTTCTTTTTGGTAAGATGTTGCATTGAAAGATCAAAAGTTTTTGCAGTCCATTATTCCAGTTTACCAGTGCAACCTTCCCAGGTATCCCTAAAGGATTATTTGTCTCTAGCGAAACAAACAAGAACAACCTTTAATATTTTAGCTCATACAAACAGTAAAAAGGTTTAGTAGGGCATAGATACAACCAGCTCTGTTCAAAAGCTTGAGGATATCATTTTCTGTATATTGATCTCATCTGGATTATAGTTGGTGAGGCACTTGACAGGCATGGCATAGACTTTTAACAATATGCTATACAGAATTGCATTAGTTTTAAGGGATTTGTAGAGAATAAACATCGAACCAGATCTTCATCATGCAGAATAACAAAATTCTTAAATTTGAGAGCTAAATATATGGTAATAAGAAGAAAAGAGAAGAAAAAAAAAAAGGAAAAGGAGATGCATTTTTTTAAAGTTATTGGTAATGTGTTCTTTTTCTTTCCTTCACAGAACTGGATGAAGAACAGTTTGAGAGTTACTGACAGCACTTTGCAAAATCAGGTGTGGGATATTTTTTCTGAAGCAACTGGAGATGTAAGTTAAATTAGAGGTACAACATTGTACAACAGGAATGAGTAAAAAAAAAAAAGTTTATCTGCAGAAATCAAAGCTTTGTGTTGCCTTAATTTTAGCAAATATGTCTTAAAAAAACTACACAGACTCTTCTTTAATCTGCACATTCCTTGTTCCTTGTATTCTGATGATGTCTAATTGTTAATAGCAGTGTTTCAGAGTGGTGTCTTTGCCTGCTAAGTACAGTGTTTTAGTTTTGGAAGTATATAATGTTTTCTCTCATCACATTTATGTTTTCTAGCATTCATGTTGATTGTGTGCCCTTAGAAATTCTGATACTGCCTTGATATGCCTTGAGAGTGGAGTTTAAACATGGATCCATGCAACAAGTGCACCATTTACATAGTGCAACATGTACCGTAAAACATAGGAAAAACAAATTAAGCCAAGTCAAAGATTTTTTTGCAAGATAACATTTCTGCTGTGATGGTGAGGGTATTAGTTAGAAGAATCAAGCCACAGTGTTTACTACTGGTGTTACCTTGTGTAATAAACCTGGCTGAATTCAGGATGTTGGTGTATTTCAGAAATGATGTAGTGGAGAAAAGTTGAATTATCAATAAAGGCATGTCAAAACTGTCATACTCTGTCTTTGAAAAAAGGTGTCAGGTAGAAAAGAACATGACAAACCACAACAGAAGGATGGAGTACAGTTTGCAGAAAGTGGGCAGAAAACAATGGCAGAAGAAAATGGCATTACAGATGGTAAAACCGAGCGGAAAAAGAGTAAGAAAGAACGAAAAGAAGAGAGACAAAAGAACAATAAGAAGGAGAAAAAAGATTTGAAATTAGAAAATCAGCCTGTGAGCTCAGAAACAAAAAAGAATAAGAAGTCCAAAAAACAGAAGGATTGCTTGGAGAATGAATTTGAAATGAATGGAAACGGCCATCAGAATGAAACAGAAGAGGAAACAAATGTCAGGAAACGCAAATATAAACATGTAGAAGGTATCTATCCTACTAACTGTATTTTTGTCTCTAGACTTTTGTCAGTGCCTAAAAGATCAATAATCTACCTCACTGGAATTTTTAAAAGGAGTTAATGTTAAATACACAAATTTAACAGAACATGAACATTTTAGCAAATACAAGCTTATGTTACAAGAATAGAAACTTACTTCTTATGCAGCTAGAATTCTTATAGTTTTATCACTTTTTCTGTGTGTGTGTTTCACCTCTAGAGGAACCCTGTGTCACAAAAAAGAAAATGAAAACTGAAAGCATGTCAGAAGACATGGAAACAGAAAACACCAATGGCAATGAAGAAACTCTTGGAAAAGGTAAAGATATTCCAAAAGGGAAAGTTTAGATGGTTACAGAACTGTGCTACAAAGGACCTTGTGCAGAATATGGTGCTTTCTTAGCAAGCCATGAAGTTGTGCCTCAATCATAACATTCACCTATCTGTTCCAGAGGAAGAAGGCTGTGCTACACTTTATACCTAGTTCTGAATTCTGTTACTTCTGTGCTGGCAGCCGCTAGCTACACTTAATTTCTCTGGACAGTGAGGAATTTGGCATATTTCTTTCACCACATTAGGTTTCTTCCCTGCTGCTGTACACCTTGGCCAGCACAGAGGAAAAACGATTAGCAGCTTTGTATCTGTTTTGTCTTTTACATTACCATTTTTTCTAATTAAATCATAAATTGGAGTTTATCTGTGTTTGACTTGGTTTATGCTTACATAAGACAAGGCACTTCATTATCTTTAGGGAATGCCTGTCCTTGAACATGCAGATTGCATATTATGTAATGGTTTCTGATTTATAGCTGAAACACAGAAGCTAAGTAAAGGCCATCTTGAACCCTAACTGCTGATGTTGTACAATGATTCTTCACAGACATCCAATTAAAATGTTCAGAAACAGCCTACCTGACTTTATGCTTAAGACACTCTGCTGTTGTAGAGTCAGCAGGATAACAGTGAACCGTGATGGCAGCTGAACTGGTTCTAAGAGTTGTAGGTTGAAGGTTCCTACCACAAGAAGATCTAGTATACTTTACAGTTTTATATGCTTATTTTCTAGGTAAATTCAACTGGAAAGGAACCATCAAAGCTGTTCTGAAACAGGCTCCAGACAATGAAATTTCAATTAAAAAACTAAGAAAAAAGGTACAGTACACCATCCTTTTTTTAGGTTTTAAGTCTTCTTTGGTCTTGATTTTTTTTTTTTTCCTGTAGTGCTGAAGCTTGTAAAATCCTGTTCCTGTCAAAAATGTTTGATATTACTTAGCAGAACATCAGTTGACAGAATGACTAGAACTAGACTCGTTCTTTAGAACTCAGTAGAATACAGAGGCAAGTTCTGCAGAGGTGTAGCATCTGTGCATTTTAATACATAGAATCTGTGCTGCTTTTAATACAGTAACATGAACGTATTACTGCTTTAACTGATCTTTACTAACTCAAAGCTGTTCCTCTTTCTTTGTGCAGGTTATAGCTCAGTACTATGCAGTAGCTGGTGAACATCACAAATCAGAAGAGGATATTCTAATCATATTTAATAAGAAAGTGAACAACAATCCCAAATTTAAAGTTTTAAAGGACAAAGTGAAACTCCTGAAATAAGTTTTCATCCTTTCCATAATGTTTGCATTGCAGACTGAGTCAAATCCTGCTGTCAAGTGGATAGACATCATATATTGGTCTCAAATTGTTTGTGTATGAGAGAACAGAATTTAAGACTGGATTCATCTTCTTTTTCTAGATCTACTGCAGAATATTTTAGGAGTGCTGCATATCTGTTTCAGATATTTTTTTAATTTTTAAGGAAAATGTCTATTTTTTGTACAAGTTTTAAGAGGCATTGAAAATAACAGGCAACAGCTATATTAAAATTCTTCCGGGAATGGATTTTATTTATAGGCACGAATGTTTATCAGGACCAGGGTAGAAACTATTTTAAGAGCAATAGGATTTTCATATTCAAAACCTCACTGTAGAAAAATGTTTTGTTATGATACAGTTAAAAAAATTGTATGACTGATAGTTCCTTTATGCACTGTAACTTTAATAACCTCTTAATTTTGTGCTGTGAAGTGCATAATTACAATGTCTGTAAGATTTATGTATGTAAAATTGCACATTCAGTGAATATCTGAAGACTGTTACCTGTACATGCATAGCTACTTGGTGTTATAATTAGCACTACAACTGACTAAATAAGTGATGTCACTTAGACTAAAAATTGACCAACAAAATAAATGACTGTAAAATACCACCTTAAATTTGTTAAATCTTGTCAGTTTACGATTGTACCAAAAAAAGAAACAAACCAACCCAGAAGAAATCTGTGCATGAAATCCACAAACTATATATATATTTTTTTGTACTTTGCAGTCACTGAAAGAATGTTAAAAGGTAGAAATCTTAAAATACCTGAATTTGTAAAACTAGTGAATATATTAGAAGTGCGAAAATGTTAAATGTCTGGGTCCAGTTTCTCTGAGTACATATTTGTCTTGTTTATAAGAAAAAATTACAATGGAAGTCCATAATAAGTTTCTCTCTTCACTAAATGGTTGTTTTCCAGTTCATGAAAATGGCTTTGGATGTATGTGAATAAAGTTTATTTACAGCCCTGGGAAAACTGAGTTCTTTCAATGCATTCCAAAAGCTTATTTTTACTTTTTTTTTTTTTTTTTCCCAAATACAGGAAAGGACATAAAACTAAAATGAATACACTCCCATTTATCTTTTCACTGTTTATTTTACTACAAATATTAATGTTATATAGAGATTTTAAGTAGTTTTGTTGGAGTAATTAATTAGAGGTTTTAATTTTTGTTTAAAATTCATTCCAAGTTATGCCATTTTCTTTGTATCTTCCTAAGATAAAAAGTTGTTTTGTTGATGATATGATGGTGACAATGTTGACCATGTTGTTGACCATAAGAAATAAGAAAATAATAAGAAAAGGAGAGAGAAAGAATAGGCTTTGTGAACTTGTATTTTTTTCCTTATGAATATTGCTGGAAGTACTGCAGAATGGTAGAGGAATCTATGTCCCTATAGATCACTTCAAATGCTACTTAAGTCCATGCACAGTTGCATTACTGACGTGCAGCTCAACATTAAAAATAATAATAGAAAAGGAAATCTATATTTTTTCATTAGACAATTAAGAGATTCCTCAGAGGTCTGAACTTAGCTTTTCTACTTACAACACATTCAGGATTCAGTTTACTGCTGCAGCTAACAATGTCTCTATCCAATTGAAATTACCCTCTTAATAATCACCTGTTTAGTGGTCACCGTTTCAGAAGAGGGCATGCTGCCTTGCATTCCATTCAGAATATTTCACCAAGACAGAAAAATAGCAAGACCTTCCTACTTTTATCTCAAAAATAATTAATCAATGTATTTACTGATTTTTTTTTTTTTTTTTTTTTTTTTCCAATCCTGTCAGTCTGTTGCAAGGAAGTTACATACATTGGGTGCTCTTTTGTTCTTACATGAAGGTTTTAGCAAATCCAAGGGGGCGATAGCATAAGCTTATCTGGAGATCTTTAATTGCATTCAGACAGCATGCAATATTTTAAAAAGATTATTCTAGGCAGTATAAAAGTGCAGCAGGGTACAACCCACAGTGGTAACTTGGAAACTTGCTGCTTGGAGTTTAATTAATATGTTCATTAAGCATTATCTGATTCCAGTTTCTGGGTCAGATGATTAATTTTATTGAACAGCTCTTAAATCTTTTGAGTGACTTTGGGGTCTTTTACATTCAAGAACTAATGTCAAGTTTGACAGCCATCTACACATGCATGTATTTCATAGAACCCTTAGAGTTGGAAGGGACCTTTAAAGGCCATCTAGTCCAACTCCCCTGCAATGAACAGGAACACCTGCAGTTAGATCAGGTTGCTCAAAGCCCCAACCAGCCTGGCCTTAAACATTCCCAGGGATAGGGCTTCCAACACATTTCTGGGCAACATGTTCCAGTGTCTCACCAGCCTTATTGTAAAAAACTTCTTCCTTATGTCCAATCTAAATCTCCCCTCTTAGTTTGAAACCATTTCCCCTTGCCCTGTCATAACAGACCCTGCTAAAGAGTCTGTCCCTTTCTTTCCTGTAACTCCCCTTTAGACACTGAAAGGCTGCTTTCCAGTCTCCCCGAAGCCTTCTCCAAGCTGAACAGCCCCAGCTCTCTCAGCCAGTCCTTGTAGGAGAGGTGTTCCATCCCTTGGATCATTTCTGTGGCCTTTCTCTGCATGTGCTCCAACAGGTCCGTATCTCTCCTGTACTGAGGACTCCACATCTGGACGCAGTACTCCAGGTGAGGCCTCACCAGTACAGAGCAGATGGGCAGGATCGCCTCTGTCACCCTGCTGGCCACACTTCTTTTGATGCAGCCCAGGATATGGTTGGCTTTCTAGGCTGTGAGGGCACGTTGCTGGCTCATGTCCTTTCGTTTGTGAAGATCTAACAGCATAACTGCAATGATTTTGTGCATGCTGATCACAACTGCCATTCTTCCACTGTGCTCTATCTTTGACCATCCAGCTCAACTGCAGCATGCTACTGCCATCAATACAAAGTTTGATGTCCAAGGAAATTGAGCTGACACAACCTACAACTAACATTTTAATACAGTTGTTAACAAACACATGATGAACCAGAAAGCTCATCATCTTCGACCTAGTTTCTTTCTAGCAGTCAATTATTATGGTTTTGCATGGACAGGAAAGTTGTGGGTGCATTCATCAAGCACACTACTGAACTCCTGTTCAAAAAACACAAAAAGTACAGAATATGTTAAAGAATGTCATGATAGTAAAGTAAGCAGCCTTTTATTTTAACCTTTTATCTGACAGAAATGCTGTGGTATTGAAGTTTCTTTTAACAACTAATCAGTGTACTGGGTTTGTGATGCCACGGAGAAATTTAACTACTGAACTACTGTTTTCACCTTTTGTAGCCTTTTTTTTTTAAAAAAAAAAAAAAAGAAAAAACTTTCTTCCCCATAAATTATATGCTTAGCAGTCAATTGGTAATGATAGCAGTCGCAATAAAGTGCTGAGAAACCATTAGATATCAGTAACAGCATTACAAAGTGTTTAAGCACGTTCTGTTTGTTGATTTTCTAAACAGCATAGTAAGAAAACATAAGAAAACATAAGAAAATATGCCTTACCATTAAGATTTTTCCTTCCAAAATACTGCATTGGAAATTGAATGTCTCTGGATGAGTGAGAAAGATGGAAGTATTGTAGATCAGAAAATGAATTGTTTAAAGTCGGTGGCCTTCTTGGTAAGCATAGCATCAGAATTTAAGCAGGGATTTTAATCACTGAAAAGAAGAAAGCTTCAAAGGATGTCTTGTTTGTTGTACTCAGCACTCCACCATACGGGTGCATTAGAGTATTTCATTCTCCTTTCTCCCAGTGAAAAAAGATCCTCCCACCTGTTGCTTTAATCTGATTGCATCAGTACAATGCAATCAGCGTCCAACATGAGTACTGGCTTATAACTGATGACCACACGATACAGAGTCCCAATACATTACTCCATTCGGAAACTTTTAAAGCTGTAATGCTCACCCCTATCTAGGAAATGAGAGGGCAAATATTAAACTCCTTGTGCAAGATAAGCAAAAAAAAAAAAAAAGGTATATTGTTCTATACATTGGGCTGTGCTCACAGGTCACAAGATATCTCAATCAATATATTCAACATCTATCCCTTTCTTCTCCTGGTTTAGCTTTCAAGAAAAAAAAAAAAAAAAAAAAAAAAAAAAAAAAAAAAAAAAACAACCAAGAATAAGCCCTCTAAGTTTCTTTTCTGCTCTGTCAGCCAAGAAAAGCAGCACACTGTGTTCCCCATTAGTTCTTTTTCAGGAAGTGTTATTTTATATTTAATACTAAATTTCACTTGGAGCAGAGAAAGTTTCAGTGGTAACTGTTCTTTGCACTTGATGAGACAATTCCTTTTGCACCTGTATTCTCATGCTTTTACATTCTCACAGGCTGAGACAACTTGAAGAACATATTTTGTTTCATTTCTGTCTCCAATTTATTCTAAATGACGTGAAACAGCCATTTCTTCAAATAGACTGTATACTTTGATCTTCTGATTTGAGATTTTAAATAGAAACCTCTCTCGACACCCTCAACCCCCCTCCCCAAGTTTACATCAGAAGCAAAACAACTCACTTTGCATAGAATTTGTTTTATAGTTCCTGAAATGACTTGAAAGCAGCAGGATAACAGAAATTCTGTTTCTGTATACCTACCAACTAATCAGGTAGAATGCATTACTACTAAATAGCACTGAAATCCTTAGTAAGGCCTGATTACAAAATCAATCTCAGTTCTCACATGCATTTGTTCTATTAGAAAGAAGATGCTTTAAAACATATGGAGATATTGCTCAAAGTCAGCATGAATACAAAGGGAAGAGAATGATGTGTATCGGTATCTGATAGGAATGCAGGTTAACATGACCAGGAAGAAATAAAGGGAAACTTATCTTTCATATTCTCTTGTAGCCAGTAAAACAAATAAAAAAACAACTTTTATCAAGAATTCAGAATGCCCTTACAAATTATGCTGTAAATGACCATTTCATTGGTCCATCCTTCAGTATTGGTTTCCCTCTCCTGAAAAATCAGGGTGAATCTACACTTAAACCTCAACATTTCATTTTTTGCTTTTATATTTTAACACATCTTTCTCCTACTAGATATCAGAACTTTAGCATAACAGCCTCCTCTTTCCACTAAAATGCATGAGGCATTTGATCCATATAAAAGCACTGAAATCACTACATCTCATTTAGATGACAAACAATGAAAAATAATACCAGAAACTTGCCTGCATTGTAAATGGTTCAAGATATGTGAATTTTACTCCTTTGATCTGTTCTTTGCAGCAGCCATGTAATGAACTCTTAAGATTCAGACACTGAGTTATAAATAGGAAGCATGAAGTGCACTTTTATGTGCTTGATTTTCTGCCTTTCTGATGGCCTTTGATTCTTGGTAATGAGAAGGAATTCAAGGAGGAATATGCAGCTTTTGACACTATACAGTACCCATGCAGAACAAAAGCTGATTTTTTTTTTTTTTTTTTGTGAATGAGACAGGGCCAGAATTTTCTCCTAGACTTTTATTGTTTTTTTGTTTTTTTGTTTTGTTTTTAATGATTAAAGCAAGCGCTTCACTGACTGAAGTCAATATATTGTACCAGCATTTTTGCTTCGGACTTCTTAATCAACTGCTAGTATGAAAGCTTTTACTGAATTTATAGACATTATGCATACAGGTCTTTATTGATTCTTTTTTCCATCTATTCACTCTACCATTTATTATATTTTCATGGACTCTTTTTCCTACAATTTCCCTATTCTACACCATGAAATCTGTTTCCTCTTCCTTTCCTACTGCAACATATCTCACTCACCTGCTCTGTGTTTGAAAATTCAGCTTTTTTGTGAACACTTGGCCATTTCCAGGGTTAGCACTGGGCAAGTTCTCTGTGAGAAGAAAAAAATGTCAACTCTGTCTTAGTTGTACACTTTTTAAAACCTGCTAATACGAAGCACATTTGTCAAAGTAGTAACAGGAATTGCACATCTCCCAGCTAATACT